ATATTTCAAATAGGCTTCATCTTCATGGGACTCACTGTACCCTTTCTCAAGGTATTTTGTTCTCAAAATGGAGCTTTGTTCATCATCAGACCTGGTGGTACAAGTTCTCCTCAATCTGCAATACTGACCGAAGGGGACATTCTTAACCTGGGGTGATGATGGCTGTTGGTATGTAGGTACGAATTTTCGGCACTGGGCTTAAAATGGGTCTTGGAAAGGATGTTCCCTTCCCTATCAGCCCGTAATTCAAGGTCTAAAAAAAACACTTTTCTCATCTACCACATGTGTGAATCCGATCTTAAAGGGATTATTGTTGCAATATTGTAGAAATTCTTCAAGCTGATTATCTGATCCATGCCAGATAATAACGTCATCAATGTATCTAGCATACTTCACCAGGTTGTTTCAGAAAAGGATTGTTCCAAATGGCTTCCTCTTCCCAATAGACCATAAATTGGCATAACTGGGTGCATACCTAGCCCCCATAGCTGTGCCTCTGGTTTGTCTGTAGGTGGTGCCCATAAAGGAAAAATACTTGTGTCAGGGTGTAGCGAATTGCTTTCTGTATGAAATCGCCCTGTATTGGAGAGATGTTACTGTTCTTAGATTGTTGAATGGCAAGTAATCAATATTGATGTTCAATGGACGTATAAAGAGATGTTACATCTAAAGAGCCATTTGAATTCAGGGGACCATGTAGATGAAGATAAAATGTCCATAATCTCTGACATATGGGGGTAAACTGGTGACTAAATCTTAAAGAAAATGATCAATATAACAGCCTAGGTTACTGGTGATTCTAGCTATACCAGCTATGATCGGTCTGCCCGGAGGGTTTTCTAAATCCTTATGGATCTTTGGTATGTGATAGAAATACGGCGTCAGAGGGTGTTGTTTGAGCAGGAATGAGTGTTCGTTTTTAGATAAAACCTTTTTCCTGAAAGCTTCATCTAACAGCTGTTAAGGACTCTCTATATTCCAGCAGAGGATCTCTAGGGAGCTTTTCATATGTATTAGGATCTCCCAAAAGTCTTTGGGCCTCAGCAAGATAAACATATCTATCCTGGATGACCAGTCTGCCCCCTAATATCAGCTTGTCTGATTATAACCTCTTCCTTGTTTTTAATAAGGGCCATAGTAGTATACAAATTCTCTTCTCCAGCTGTATGAGAACCAAACCTGGGGCTTATATTTAGTGAATGGACTGTTCTGATTGTAGTGCCCACATGTCCTTTTTAATATCCTCCAACACAACTTAATAGAAAGTGGGAATGACGTTTTCTTTAGCCTAGTGGGGGAAAAAAAAAGTAGACCTAGGCTTGAAATCTGTATGTATGACGTCATCCTTCTCTTTATTATATGGGCTGATGACGTGTTCAAATGTGAAGCCATCACATGCTTCCTCCTGAAGTAGGTGTTCCAGCATAGGGAGCGCAGGGTCATTATTAGTGGAACTAGTGTCGCCTAGCTGTTCCATTGGTGGGGTGTCTAACTGGAGGTTCTTTTAAGAGCAAAACATTTTTACAGTAAGATTTCTAATGAATTTAAATCTATAAAGAGTTCAAAACAGGTTGGGTGGATTTTTTGGAGCAAAATTTCAGGCCTTTTCGGAATAAATTGAGTTCTGTCTCTGAAAACACTGAACTTGATAAATTTAAATTATTTTCATGGTAGTGTGTCAAAGATCCAGGTATGACCAGAGATGTGTGGACTGACACAGGAGACAGCAGGCTTCAGAAATGATGAAATAATAATTTATTAAGACCTGCACAAATATACAAACGCAGTGCAAACAAACAAACCTTAAACTAATATGTATAAGGTTAGTCAGGGCTGGAGAGGTGGAGTGGTGGAGTCTAGTAAACATCCCGGGTATGATAAAACTTGAAACACAAAATCATAAATTATAATATAATCATAAAAATATAATAAATTTTAATTCAATAATATAATCAAACCAAAAACACTGAAATGTGAAATAGAGCGCCAAGTAAGCACATCGCTGAGCTCAGTCGCAGAATCGTTTTCAGTGTCTGAGGAATTTCCCCCACGAATCATCATTCAATTCTGCAAGTGGTTCTAATTTACTATCGCTGTTCTCTAGCCGGTCTAAAACCGCGTCTGACCTAAAGGGACGTTTCTCAGTTTCCAGGTAGAAAGAACAGTCAAAATGCAGGCAGGGCGCCTGACAAAAAGCACTCGGGACAACATGTATGTGAAATGCTTTGATACAGTAATGTTTTACTATGTAATCGGTTTTTAAAATTTTTTAATTTGCCGCCGTTTCCGGCGCCTGTACGTCCCGACATCACAGGGACAGGAACACGGAAGCCGGATGCTGGCATCGGCCGGAGGAGATGGCCGGGGACGCTGCAGGGGACACATAGGAGCAAAGGACAAGGTAAGCGCTGTAGTGAATCCCCGAGCAACGCCGCATGGTGAGCCCGAGTGTAGCTCGGGGTTACCGCTTTTGACACTGAAACTTTACCCCGAGCTACACTCGGGAATACCGCCAGGGAGATTAATACAGTTTTCTGAGGTCTACCAACACAGCCTATATGTCACCAGTATCAGTGGACAGAGAAGATCCATTAAGCGGTGAAGTTCTGCCAGGAGAACGGAGGAGCGGTAATGGAGGCCTTGAAAATTTGGCTCGTGCGCGTCCAGTTTTGTCAACCATGACAGCGCGTGAAAAACGTGTAAATTACATGCAATATTTTTTGTGGGGAATGGTGCAGGATAATGTTGTCTAAAGTATATATTAAAGTGTGTCTAATGTGTATATTAAAGCTGACGTGAGTTTTGCAAAAAGTGCATGTGTGCATATAAAAATATATATTTGAGAAATGTGTGTTCATTGATTTAATTGTATCTTTGCATATGATCATATTGTAAAGATAAATGTTTGACTTCAATTACCTGTGTCTCTGGTACCTCAAATTCAGGCAGAGGTGAAAAGGATGGTTCATCAGAGGGACCAGGCAGCAAAGTGCATTGAGACTCCCTTGGCACATCTGAGTCAGTCAGGAACATGAGGCTCTGAAAATACCACAGCCGTGGCACATACACATCTGTGCCAGCACCGGATTTTTTTAGCGTTTTCTATTTTATTTAATTTTTTTGAACCCTGTACGCAGATTTGCAATCTTGTGTTACATAGTTTTCATCTGCGTGTACGCACACGGTTTTGCATAATTCGATGTTTTTTTTTTTCAACGCCTCATTGCGCAGCAAACGATTTGAATAATCTTTTGATTTAACTTTCCACATACATGGCATCTCCCTGTACATTTCGATAAACTGTGGCAAAAACGCAACAGATGTAAATTTCTGTGCCATAGCTGAAAAAAAAAAAAAAAAAAATTTTTTTAACAATGAGGCCCAAATATATATTGTAAGAAATAATGATAATACAATATGCTTTATGCTGTCACAATGGGTTACGTTTTACACCGCACCCAGCACATGACAGGAAAGCCTTGCAACATGTTGTATAACTAAACATTTATCAAATTCTGAAAGGTAAAGATGACTTGATGTTGTTTTTTTTGTCTCCGAAAAATCGGTTTTCTTCACAATTATCCGCGAATTTTCGCTCCAACCAGCCGTCTCCCTCACAAGTAACTATCGTTCTGACAAAAACGTTCTGGCCAACTAAATTACGTATTCTTTTTGGCGCTCTTTCACACTATAAAAGACCGCCCCTCCCTCCTCCCTCTCTTAGTGGGAACAAGATAGAGGAGCAAAAGGAATTAAACACAACTAGTGAGCAAGAAGGATCGCAGCAGCTTCCTAAAAGTGTAAGAGATAAAAAAAAAAAAAGGCAACCAACATGTCTCTGGAGGAGATGGTGGAGATGGTCCGAATACTGCTGAGGAAGGATTATGGCTGCAAGTTTTACAACACCAATCAAAGGAAGGATGCAATAATGGGCAAAATCCTTTAAAGTCCTTTTTGGAAGAAATTTTGGGGTAAAACGCACAAAGGACCAACTGAGAAAAAGATGGTCTGATCTGAAGTTAAGGGAGGCTGATCAGTTTTAAGAGAATAAGAAATTCTCAGAAAAAGTGAGTATTTTCAATGGAAAATATATATTTTATTTTGTATAATGTTTGCCATATGCTTATGCTGCAAGTGCTATGCCTCTTCATTAATGTAATGTGCTGCTTTCAATGTGACATTTAATTATAATTAATGTTAAAGTAAGCAGTCAATAGAACTTCAGTGCTGTATTGATTGATTTAAAATTAATTCACACAGGAGAACGCAAGAGTAATGCTGATAAAGTTGAATCTGTCTGTGAGGAATTGGAAAAAAATGCTATGGATGACCATGTGGAAGTTTCTGAGGAAGTAATACTGAACATCATGCCTGTTGAGGAAGATACCATAACTTGTGCTATTGACTAAGTATTCCCGTATATACATTCATCTATACATGCATTCATCTGTGTGAAAACATACATTTTAATCACATTTGTATTAACCGGAAATCCAGAGTCACCAGCACCAAAGAGTTATACCGCCCAAAAACTTACAGCAGAATTGATGGCTTGTAACATACAGATTGAGGATATGAGATATTTGAACACCATGCAATGCATGGTTGAGGGACATGCAGAATATTGAGGCAAGTACTTACCGCCTACCTCTTAACCATCGCCCACCGGAATAACCACGCAACTCTCCTTTTCTTTGGTGAAAACCGACCATAGCAGCCCCATTTATTTTACTTAACTCTTATAAGAAAAACATTTTGGTACAATTACACCATAACTGACATTAACAACTAGAGATGAGCGAATTATTCAAAAATTCGGTAAGGCTGATTCGCCGGATTCGCCGAATAAATTCGCTTCGAGCCGAATATATTCGCTGCGAATTTAACTTATAAAAAGGGTGTTTCTAGGCTTCAGAGAGTCTTTATATTAGTGCAGAACACTGTACCTTTAATTTAAATGCCCTTGGAGTCTGCTGGGGAAGAGAAATAATACTGTCAGTCAGTATGACATGCAGATGAGTGCCGTCGATCCTAGAATCACCGCACACTTCACTCATTTGGGCAGTCACGGGGCCAAAACCAGAGTGTGGAGCCACAGTGTGGCGGTGGAGGCAGCAGCAATGGGAGGCCATACAGCACCCTATGACAAAATGGAACCCACCAGCAGTGTGAGGAGACCTGAAAGTGGCACATGGCAGAGTGTGGCGATGGAGACAGCAGCAAAGGGACCCATGGGGAGGCCGTACAGGGACCCATGAGACACTCTGGACCTGGCAGCAGCATGAGGAGGCGGTACAGGGGCCCATGACAGATTACGGGCCTGGCAGCAGCATGAGGAGTCGGTACGGGGGCCCATGGCAGATTACGGGCCTGGCAGCAGCATGAGGAGGCGGTACGGGGGCCCATGGCAGAGTGGCGGAGCGTAAGCAGCTAAAATTGAAGGCCATACAGAGGCCTATGTTAAAAAGTCCCCCCAGCAGCAGCGTGGGGAGACGACTATCAAGAGTCCAATGGCAGAGTGGCGGAGCAGAAGCAGCTTCAATTGAAGGCCATACACAGGCCTAGGTTTAAAAGTCCCTCACAGTTAATTCCAATAACGAACTCTACTCCTCCGTGCAATCTACTTACGAGACCCTGGGCAGGTCTGGGTCCAATTTGTGGTAGAGACTGGTTTTGTTCAGCCATGCTTGAGCGAGTAATAACAGGTCTGTGCTGCCCTTTGGTGTCTGGCTTAATGCGCACAACACTGAACGTCCCAGCGTTTGTCAACGATTTGCCGTTAAGTGATGCAAACCCGCTGAACCACGTTCATGAGGAGCCGGTACAGGGGGCCATGAATCAGTATGGACCTGGCAGCAGCGTGAGCAGACGACAGAGGCACATGGCGCAGGGTGGTGGTGTAGGCAGCATTATTCTGAAGCCATACACAGGCCTAGGTTAAAAAGCGGAAGCCGTCAGCAGCGTGAGCAGACGACAGACACATGGCGCAGGGTGGCGGTGGAGGCAGCAGTATTCGGAAGCCATACACAGGCCTAGGTTTAAAACTGAAACCCAGCAGCGTGAGCAGACGACAAAGACGCACATGGCAGAGGATGGATCTGGCAGCAGTATGAGAAGGCGGTACAGGGGCCCGTGGCACAGTGTGGTGATGGGGGCTACAGCAACTGGATGCCAGAAAGTGGCCAATAGGGCTATATTACTGCATGGAATTATAAAGTTGTAAAGACAGCGGCCTATAAGGCTATACACACTATAACAATCATGACTTGATTGACCATTGGCCTATAAGGCTATACACAGCATGAATATCATGACTTATTCTGAGAGTGGTTTGGAAGGCTATATACAAAAAGTAATTCATGAGCTGTCCGGACAGCGGACAATAAGTACATATATACAAATCAATTCATCAGCTGTCCAGCCAGCGGCCTCAAAGGCGACACATATAGAAAGCAATTCATGAGCTGTTCAGACAGCGGCCTCTAAGGCGACAGATATACAAAGCAATTCCCGAGGTGTTCAGGGAGCGGCCTGAACGGCTAGGTTATTACTAAATATATTTTTGTGGCCAAACATCGGCCTATAAATAGATGTCTACACAGTGACAAAAAATACAGCGGCCCCTAAGGCGACAGATATACAAAGCAATTCCCGAGGTGTTCAGTGAGCGGCTTGAACGGCTAGGTTATTACTAAATATATCTTTCTGGCCAAACATCGGCCTATAAATAGTGTCTACACAGTGACAAAAAAGTAGGTCGCCTTACAGCGGCGTATCCTACAAATTGACATTATAAGAAATGGTTTAGACCAAAAAAAAAAAAAAAAAAGCCCTTTGATGCGATGCTATACCTTAGTAGATTGTGGAAAGTCGACAAGTCAAGCGTAACTGTGTACATTACAGAAAATCTTAACAAGACAACCAAACATGTGGCCAAACCGTGACCGATACAACAAGTTAACAATGTAAGAAACAGGAGGGGGCCAAACCGTGGCCAATAAAATAAACAGTCCACCTCATTGATGAGATGGACAACACGTGTCAAATAAATTTTAAAAAAATTGCTATTCCATCGGTCTGGAACTGGTTGACTATAAATAATTAAAAAGTTTAAATTCATGTGACAGTTGTCCAGCGACGTATAAATAATTTAAAAAACACCATTCATGAGGGGGGCCCCGACCAGCAGAGTATAAGTCATTAAAAAAGGTTCAATTCATGTGACGGTCGTCCAGCGAGTATAAAATAATTAAAAACCCCAATTCATGAGGGGCCCGACCTGCAGAGTATAAGTCATTAAAAATGTGCAAAACATGAGTCGGCCGACCAGCAGCCTCTCAATAAAATATATATACAAATGTACGGATCAGGTGGAGGTCTTCCATTTGTCCCTAATAACATGTTTGGGGCATGATTCATGGCGGATTTAGTCAGTTGTGTCAGGAACTGGTGGTTTGAAATCCAGACTAATCCACGCCTGATTCATTTTCACAAACGTGAGTCTCTCCACACTTTGGGTGGACAGTCGTGTCCTCCGGAGTTACAATACCTCCTGCCGCACTAAACACGCGCTCCGATGCCACGCTACTGGCCGGGCATGACAGCCTTTCAAGGGCAAATTCAGCTAGTTGGGGCCAAAGGTCAAGTTTCGTTGCCCAGTAGTCAAGGGGATTGTCTACCTCGGTTGGCAGGGTGCTGTCCAAGTAGGCCCAAGCCTGTTGTTTGAGGTCCTGCTCCAGGTCCACCTGATGCTGCTGCTGCTGCGGCTGGTTAGTAGTTTCCTCACTGCGCTGCTGAAGAAAGCTACTCATCATCGACTGCAGACTGAGGCAGCCGCTGCTGGTGGAGCTGCCACTGCTCCTACCACCCCCCCCTCCCCTGCTGCCATGGCAGCGGAACGCGAGCGCACAGGGCCCACAGTGTGTCTGAGGATGGACGTTGGCGCACAAAGGCAGAGACCAACTGACTACATAGGTGGTTTTTATAGTACTTTTATTTTGGCCTCCCTCTCAGCAGTGTGAAAAAGGCCACCATTTTTGAACGGTAGCGAGGGTCCAACAAGGTGGACAGCCAAAAGTCATCCCTCTGTCTGATGGTTATTATTCGGCTGTCGCTACGCAAGCAACCGAGCATGCTATGGGCCATTTGTGCCAAGGAATGCGAGGGACTCCCTGCCTCCATCTCCACAGCATACTGCCACGGTGCGTCTGGGTCCTCTGTCTCCTCCTCCTCCTCCTCTACCAGATGCTCCTGCTCCTCCACTCCTGTCCGCTGAGTGGAAAAACCACCCATTTCACTCAATAATTCCTGAGCACCAATGTCCTCCTCTACCTCCTCCTCTTCTTCCTGTCCTGCCCCCACAGGGGTCATGTGGCGTTGAGATCTGTGCGCCACGTCTACCGCACCCTGACCAGCCATTGTTAACAGCATTTGTTCCAGGACGTGCAACAGAGGAATGACGTCGTTCATCCCATAGTCCTGCCGACTCACGAATAGCGTGGCCTCCTCAAAGGGCCTGAGCAAGCGGCAGGTGTCGCGCATGAGCTGCCAATGGCTGACATCTAAGTTACACAGGGGAGTACCTTTTATCCGCTTGTAACATCAGGAAATCGGTGATGGCCTTTCGCTGTTCGTAAAGGCGGTCTAACATATGTAGGGTTGAATTCCACCTTGTTGCAACGTCGCAGATCAGGCGATGCTGTGGAATTCCGTTCTGCCGCTGCAGCTCAAGGAGGGTGTGCTTTGCGGTGTAGGAATGGCTGAAATGCATGCAAAGTTTACGTGACATTTTAAGGATGTCTTGCAGTGGGATGGTGGATTTTAGGAACCGCTTGACAACCAGATTGAACACGTGAGCCATGCATGGCGCATGGCACAACCTTCCTTGACGCAGAGCAGACACCATGTTCTTTCCGTTGTCGGTCAACATGGTTCCGATTTTCAGTTTGCGCGGAGACAGCCATCTGTCGATTTCTCTGTTCATTACTCAGAAGTTCCTCCCCTGTGTGATTACGTTCGCCAAGGCATACCAGGTGCAGCACAGCGTGACACCGTTGCGCCCTGCACATGTGATATGCCGGTCGGGTAATGGGACTTGGCACGGGGGGGGGCGGCTGAGGACACGGAAGAAGAAGGTGGTAGAGGCGGACATCTTTGCTGGACCAAGGACGTGCAAACATGGAGGCAAAAGCGGCGTGACCTGTCCAAGTTGCTGGTGCGGCTGTGCCGGCACCACGTTCACCCAGTGGGCCGTAAATGACATGTACTGTCCCTGACCGTAGTTACAGCTCCACACGTTGGCGCTGCCGTGCACTTTGGCAGAGACCGACATGCTCAAAGACTGGCCCACCATCTCTTCTACATGTGAATGCAGGGCTGGCACTGCCTTTTTGGCGAAGAAATGCCGGCTTGGCACTCTCCACCGCGGCTCGGCACAAGCCATCATTTCTCGGAAAGGTGCTGAGTCCACCACTTGGAAAGGGAGGGACTGCAGCACCAGCAACTTGGACAGGAGGACGTTCAGCTTCTGCACCGTCGGGTGCGTGCTCGCAAACTGTTGTCTCTTGGAAACGGATTCCAAGAAAGACTGCTGACGGAATCCGTGAAGAGGAGTAGCAGGAGAAGGAGCATCTGAACGAGCGGAAGATGCCAACGAGCGACAACTCCCCTCAGCAGAGGTGTTGGAGCCTTGACTGGCTGATAGAGGGCGATTGACGTCGGGACGGACGGAGCAAGTAACGGAGCGGGGGCTGGGGCAGGCAGAACCGCCGTATCTTTATCACGGTTTTCCCAGGCCACCGAATGGCGACGCTGCATATGCTGACGCAACGCTGTAGTCCCAACATTGGCCCCCTGGCCACGCTTGACTTTCTGGCCACAGTCGAGATACGGCTACGTTTACTTCCTCGGGCGGCTTGACGAAAAATTGCCACACACCGCCGAGTAGGAAACTTTGCCCCCGCTACTCCTCACTGGCTGACTGCTACTTCCTCCGTGCACACCGGCACCACTACTGGCCGTGGTGGTAGGCTGCAGTGGAGCTGGTGCTCTACTCCGTGGCCGTTTGGCTCCACTGACACGACCCTGCTGCCTCCTGGGCAACCCACCGACTGTTTTGCTCGCTGGCAAGCTGGCACCCTCTTCTCCTGATGATGCGGAAGCAATAGCCTGATGACGACGAGGCTGCCAAGTTCGATCAGCCTCATCATCATCAATTAGGGTCTCCGCGTCACTACTAGCCCCCTCGGCTGCGTGTGGGTCAGGAGACAGACCTGTCTCTAGACCGGCTACCGAGCCACTCTCCTCGCCAGTACTTCTTCGCCTGGCTGCTGAAGAGGCGGATGTCTCCCCCCCCGTTCCTGACCGCCCTCTGTTAGCTCTTCCTCACTGTACAGTGGGGCTGAGCCCACAGCATGCGATACTTCGCTTGGTGAGGAACACCAAAGGACAGGGGCAGGTCGAGGACACGTGATTTCAGTGGGCTTGCTCCCGGGCCATGCCAACTAACGGTTGTGTCTGACGTACCCACCGACCGTTGGCTGTAGGTGTCAGAGGTGACCTGGGAAGAGGAAGACGACCGAGTCAACCAATCGATGACGGCAGGGTTGTCGGTGGAGACACGACCGACACGCACTGGCCTCTGGCTGCGACTAGTGCTGCCTCGACCCCTTCCTCTGCTGCCACGTCTGCTCGCTCCTGAAACATTGCCTCCTCTGCCACTCCTCTGCGTGTTGTCTGACATACTCTTTAATTCAATAAGCACCCCAAAAATAAAACCGGATTTAACTCTTTGAACATACAATAGTGGTTGTGAAGCAGAAAGTCAGTTTATTTAGCACAATCGGTCAATTGCAGCTTGCCGTTGCCTGGAAACTGTACGTTTATGTCACTGGAATGCACTAATCACCCAAAAAATATTACCGCCAGCCGGCGTGTAAAATGGATTTAACTCTTTGAACGTACAATAGTGGTTGTGAAGCAGAAAGTCAG